TCACGTTTGTTCTTATTGTTTTGGAAATGAAAGGCCTTTTATCTCTCACAACTGTTGTAATAAAAATGCTCTAGACCTTGATTTGGTAACTGTTATTCCCCTCTGCCAAATTTCCACTTTGTATTTGTTATGACATTTTGTTTCTGCTTGTGCAACAATTGTTTTTAATTTAAATAATTTCTGATGTGATTTGACATATACAATATAATCTTATTCCTTCCCGGCCTCTTTTTAGTGCTCTCTCTCTCTCTCTTTGTGCATGTATATTGGTGTAAAATAAATGCTCATTCTTATCTCATTCATTACTTATAGTCTGCACATCTTCCCTTGGGCTCTCTGTTTCAGCGGTGGAAAATATCTCATATTCCTAACAGTACTTAGGGCAAACTGCACGCTACACACAAATCTAAGTAAGGAAGCCTGACAGCCATTGTTGCTCTGACCTGGATAGCCCAGGCTAGCCCAATCTCATCAGATTTTGGAAGCTAAGCAGGATCAGCCTTGACTAGTATTTGGAGGGGAAACCTCCAAGGAATACCAGAGCTGTGATGCATACACAGGTAATGGCAAACAACCCCTGAAATGTCTCTTGCCTTAAAAAACAAATCTAGCTTGCCATCTAGTGGTACATAATGCTAAAAGAGCTAGAACGTCTGGCTGCCAGATAATCTTAGGACCTCCTGGCTATTCTACACCCACTACCATATGATAATTATGATAATTACAGCCATTGTTTAACATGACAAGCAACTTCAGGACACGACTATTTTGAGAGCATAGGTAAGCTTAACTGTTTGGATTTTTGTGTATTTACAGTTAGCTCCCATGTAGTTTGGTGTGGAGAGCCAGTTTGGTGTAGTGGTTAAGTGTGCAGACTCTAATCTGGGAGAACCAGGTTTGATTCCCCACTCCTCCACTTGCATCTGCTGATGTGACCTTGGGTCAGTCACAAGCTCTGGCACAGCTGTCCTTGAAAAAGAGCAGTTTGTGTCAGAGTTCTCTCAGCCCCACCCACCTCACAGGGTGTCTGTTGTGGGGAGGGGGAGGGAAAGGAGTTTGTAAGCCGCTCTGAGACTCCAAGTGAAGGGCGGGGTATACATTCAATCTCTTCTTCTTCTTCTTCTTCTTCAAGTACACATTCAAGAAGTATGTGAAGGGACAAGAAGCTGGGAGGGGGTGAACAACTTCCCATCTGTTCCTTCTCTCCATACTAACACCGCCCATCCCAAAGCTGCTTTTCATGATTAAAAATGAGCACCAGGGCTTTGCTATATGTTTTTGCAGGTAATGTATAATCTTACCTGGAAAGGTAAGAATTTGTTACAATATTTATTTATGTACTTCATTTATACTTTGCCTTTCCCTCCAAAATAAAGCTGGGAGGGGGTGAACAACTTCCCATCCATTCCACCCAAAGCAACTTACACCATTCTCCTCTCTTTTCATTTTATCCTTACAACAACCCTGTGAGGTACACTAGGCTAAAAGTGTGTGACTCACCCAAGGTCACCAAGAAAGCTTTCATGGCAGGGCAGTTATTCAAACTTGGGTCTCTCAGATCCTAGTTTGGTGGCAGTCAAATGACAGCCGATAGTAAAGTCAGCTGATGGTTAGCAGGGTCTTTCTCTACCTCTGTTAGCCTCCCTTCCTCCTTCTCCAGCACCTCAGATGCTGTTTCAGCAGTATGTGAGGTTTTATTTATCACTGAGGAAATTTATATGCCACCTCTCCAGATACCTCCTTGAAGCGGCTGACAACTAAGAGAATAAAGAAGAACTATTAAAACACAACCAATTAAAAACAAAGCCATGAAACAAGTTGGCAACATTAAAACAAGCCAATGCCATTAAAACGAGCCAGGGTGTAACAACAGCATAAAATACATACCACACAGCCTAAAATGATAGGTCTGAAGCAGACCATAGCATGTGTAAAAGATAAACTCCTTCATTAAGCTGCCTTGAGTCAATGTCAGTCACAGCAGCCCTGCTCCATGGCCTACAAGGCAATCAGGGAGAAGGCACAAGAACAGGTAGAGGAAGGAGGAAGAGAAGGAGGCAGGGAAGGTTCTTTTCTGGCTCAGAAATACAATCTGTGCCAGAGAAGAATTGAGACTGCAAGGTGAATGCCACGAGCTTCTGGAACTTGTATTCCAAGCACCTTGCTAAGGCCCACTTCGCATCAATGATGTATGAATGCTGTCAGGAACTCCCCTTCCGATCTCAGTGGTCATGTAGGGGGATGCATAAATCTCTGCAAGGTTTAAAGGCCCAGTCTTGGATATGTTGAAAATTAAGTTGCTTAAAAGCAGCCCATTTGAAGAGCTGGTATCGCAGTTTCCTTTTTAACACGTTGTAATAATCCTAGCCATGTGATCAATACAAGTCAGTCACACTTTTTAGGGAGCAGAGATTAGTGCCTTTGCCATGCGTATCTAGCATATACGCCCATTTATTTGTTTGTAGCAATGGTTGCCCATTATCTAGAACCTGTGTGGTGCAGAAATACAGGTGCTCCATAGGAATGATCACCTGTGGTGTGAAATATGCGGCTGGGGAGCAGTTATGCGCACACGCAGCATCAGCCACCCTTTCCAAACAGTGCCCCTCAGCATGGTTAGCCTTGAAAAGGAATGTGGGAGTTTCACCACAGGCTAAAATGCAATTGGAACACACCCTGCCTAATCGGAGGTTGAATCATATATGCATTTTAAAGCATTTTAATTATCACTCAGGAATCTTCCCTGCTACCGTGAATGTGCCTCCATCCCCCACTTTTGGTTTTCTCATTTTAAAGGTCACTGCACGCCTTCCAGCTCATGTAGGATAAGGCATTCTGCATTTGCCACCCTAGATACTGGCTCATATTGCCCTGTCACTAAACTCGGTTGCCATCTGATCATGCACAGTCCTACCCTTATGCTTTAGCTGCTCGCCTGGCTCTCAGCTCCATTGACTTTCGTGCCAGGCAAGTATTCTTGTCAATTTTACCTTGCTTGCAAGGCCACTATTTTGGACAATACTTTACGGGCTTCTTGGGGGGGGGGGCGGGATTGACATGCTACAATGTGCTCCAGCAGACCTGCCCAGGAGGGACCTTTTAAACAAACCTGAGAAGTATTTGGGATTGAGTTTGTGGAGGTAGCCAGGATGGCAGACTGTCAGTTAATGAGTAGGTTTCCAGCTAGATGACTGCTGGCATGGAATGAAACAAAGTGCCAATTTGGCTTCTTTATGATATGATACAGAGAAGGTAGATAGAAAGAACTTTTCCCCTCCTTTTGAAATACAAGGGAATCAGGACAAACAAACAAACCATCTTCACATATGAAATTTCCTGCCACAATGGCTAAATAAATCCTCCACGTTCAGAGGCAATGTGACACTGAAGACCGGTAGTTGGGGGACAACAGAGAGGTGACTATTGCTTTATGTATGGCCTTCCTGTGGTTATGAGGCTGGCTGCTGTGAAAAACAAAATTCACGAATGTTTGATCTAATCTATCAGGGATATTCTCATTTTTCATAGAAACAGTTAATTTAGGGAGGGATGAGTGTGAGCATATGTATATTGGAAAGTCAGTGCTGCTGCTGGTGTGATTTCCTTTTCCTTGCAAACCCAATGGCGCATGCGCACACTTCAGTTTAAACCCAAAACACAGCCCCGTTTGCCACGTTGTGTGATTGGCACCTCCCTCCTAACCACGGGACCTTGATGGGACCTCAAGGGGACGTCTGATTGCGCAGCCGCACGTTAGTTTGCTCCAGGGCAAACAACCATGCTTCCACCCCGCATTTTCTGGCCCGTGTGACCGGAGCCTATATTTATTTATTCTCCCCCCCTTCCCCTCTCTCTTTCACCCAATGCTGAAAAGAACTGGGTTTGGAGTCAGGGATTCTTCCTCCCTCTGCTTTATTTTCTCCTCCACCCCCTTCTGTTAAATAGTGGCCAAAAAGGGTGGGGCAACATTCCTAAACTCTATGGATGGACGACTGCAATGCTTCACAGAGAGAACACTTCATAGTTTGACATACAAATCGCAGGAAGGAATAGATGCAATTGTATATCCAACTTCCTACACAATCATCAATTGATTAATCCCCCCCACACACAAGTACATTCAAGACTACTTTAAAACCACTTTCACATATATTCGTTGATGTTATGTATTGGGACTGAAACATTCCAGAACTGTTCTACCTGAGATGGGCTGAGCTTGGATCCCAAGAACAATAGCCCACCAGGACTCTGGAAGTAACCAGTCAAGAAGTAATATTATGTAAATAGCCTATCGTTGGGAGTGGGGTTTGTTTGGGTGTGGTTTTTGCATGCTATTGAACAGGGCTGCTGCCCTGGGGTTTCCAGTCTTCTTCTTGCTGAATCACTAATAAAGTAGAGCCGATCACTAGACTGAGGTCTGCTCATCCATGGAACCCACTATTTAACAGTTGATAGTGGGGCAGAGGTTCAAAACAGCATTTAAGAGGCATGTGTGAAATCAGTCTCATCCTCTGTGTAATCCTCAATTTTCCACACAGAAAGGTCAGCATATCAGAATTAATCAGTTTCAGCCTATAGGTGGCATTAGGATGCAAAGTAACACTCCTCTCTCTGGCTTACAGTGGGTTGCAGCCTCCAGCTGAAAGTCGCTCTGTGTTTGTCCTCTGGCAATCTGCATACTGTCTGCTTTAGGGCTAATGCTTATTGCCAAGACTGTAGGGATCAGACCCAAATCTGTATTAAGAGAGCTTTAACAATCAGATAACAAAGTCCTAGCAATAGTAATTTAATGCTTATACAGTAGACATGGCTGTGAAGTAGCAGATCAGGTGCTTTCCCTCTTAGTATTATGCGGTGTGCAGAAAATACTGTTGCTTTTCTAAATGGTATGGGTATCACCAGAACAAGGAGGGGGAGAGAGAGATCATCCAAAGGAAATATTTACAGACCAAATAAAGTGAAACCAGACATTTATTTGAAAGTAAAACAGTCATACTTACATTTGATGCTCATGTTCAAACTCTTTGGAGCAGATGAATCCACAGTGGCTGAATTAGAAAAAAATTGGTCTGTATTTCTCAACATTACATTTTCAAATTACAGAAAAAAGCAATGAACAGCTACTAAAACTCCGGATTTAATTAAAACAGTGGCTATTAAGTAACCTACTCATAATACATTGATTGATCTATGTTATATAACATACAGCTGAAGACTATGTATACTGCTTCTTTGAGTCAATGCTCAGATTATTACTAATATTATTTATTATTCATCAAATTTATGTCCCGCACCCTCTCCCCTAGATGGGACTTGGGGAGGCATACAGCATGCAACATACACCCAATAAAAACAATACAAAAGATACAATGAACATTTAAAATATAAAACAATTAAAAATCTATCCCCATTAAAATCTATCCACTATCAAGCAGGGTAGGACATGTGGATGTGCAGTTCATGTCATTAAGCCTGTTGTGCATGTTTCCATTTCCTTAAATGATAGATTAAATGTTGTATTTCAACACAAAATTAAGCAGCAAAGCTGAAAAGTCAGTGAATTCTGACTGATGGGGATAGTTCCCAGATAATAAGAGGATCTTTTGGCCATTATCCCGTAACTGACAATGTGATCAATGACAGGGCAAGTAGGAGATCCTACAGTCTGCACTATGCAACACTGATCCAATGTCATATTGGTTCAAGGATGTGTTGTCTCCTACCTGTGTAAACAAATCCAAGACACAATTGTTAACACAGAGAAAACCCCTCCCAAATTAACACATTTAGCAATAAGCTGACTATTATATAAGGGAATAATATACAGTACATTGGAGGGTCAAAGGATTAAATCCCTTTTTAATTTCAGAATAAAAAGTTTTCTGAAAGCAAACAGAATATCTCCTGTATCTATGAAACACAACTTTGTCTTCTAAGCAAACAACAGATAGTCTATCTGAACCTTGGGCCTATTGTGCATGCACAGCTTCCTTCAGAGAATCCGAGCAGTCAAGCCTTTAAGTTTGACTTCAGATTCTGTGCCTGTCATACACACCATTCTTTTTTCTCCAATGTGTTTATTCTGCAGCTACAACCCCAAAACACTGTTTTTCTTAATTGGGGTGGGAACATCACTTATGACATGTGGGGTGTGGCATCCAAAGGTTTTTGGGAAAAAAATGTGCAATTGCCCTGTTGCCGCTACACAGTAGCATCCAGCAAGCACCTTCATTTAAATCCTCATGGTTCAGGTTTTGCGCATGCATTTTAGCACTAGTTAATTGAATGAAAGGGAACAAAAAGGAATGCAAGCAAAGTGGGGGGGGACCCACTTTTGAAACTGACCAGACTTGCATCCGATTCTAGTCTGGGCTATCCCAGTCCTTTAGCATATATTAAAGTAGGCTGACTATAAATCTACAACATATTGCAGAATTGCTGGAGGGTAGGAGGGTTAGTTTTTTTAAATCGACCAGGCAATAACATTCAGCCCACCATGCTAAAGCATTCCTTCCATGCAAAGAAGACCAAGCAAAAACAGAGCTGAGGACTGCTGCCGCTTCGCCCAATGAACTTGACGTCAACCAAGGGCCATTTCTGTAATGCACAGGACAACTCACCAATTCCATCTTTCCCTTTTCGACTGACTCACTCCTTCCATCTTCCACTTTTATCACGAAATCCATCCCCCCCCCCAACTCAGTGGAACTTGCAGTTGCAAAAAAGCGCAGGAAACCGATATGCAGGTAAATTTCCCCGGCTGGATAAATAAGACTCCAGGACTTTTCAAGTCCCTAAAATGACTCTAGCTGTACAAATTTAAACCCTCTCTCCTGGTGCACCACAGTCTTAATCTGAATTGTGTCCCCAGCTGCCTGAGAATTTGAGTATCCGCAGGAAACTCCCAGCACACATCTGTGTTCCAGAAGCCCAGGTACAATCTAGCCTTAATTTCTACTGGCCATGCACATGATTGTCCCCTTTTAGGGACACAGAGATGGGTTGCATTTCCCCTTGAATTGCCGGATCCCTAGGCTGGTGCTTGCTCTCTTCTGAGGAATGTGCAGAAGCCCGCACGCTCCCTCCCCGGCAGCTTGGTGGAGTTCATGGAGCTACAGAGCTCAGGGCTCCCAGGAGGAGCGCTGTGTGCCTACCATATTTGGTGAGCATCCAGCAGCCTGTAACACGAAAAGGGATGGTGAGCCTGGCAGCGTCCTAAGGGATTGAGTTTTTTTGGGGGGGAGAATAGAGCAATCTGCCTATGCTTGCTTATGTGGGACTAAGATCCAGAGGAAGCTGATTCTAAGCAGCCAGGGCATAGGGCAGAAGATGGGCTCCGGAGCGGCAAAGGAGCCAGGGAAAGGTCTCTCCAGATGGGTCTCAGAGAGCCAGCAAGAGACAAGAGGTGCTTGGAAGCAGCCAGGGTTTCCACCAGCCTCTCAAAAGTCTGCTGCTGCCCAAAGGGGGAAAACCAGTTTATGTGGGTCAGTTGGAGGTAAGATTCCCATGGAAATGAATGAGTCTGACTTCCCAGCCATAAAAAGGAAGATCTTCCTTTGGCAACAAAAAAAGGAACCTCATGGCCAGGTGCACAAAGGGCCTGTTCTCCCTCCCTCTCTGCGGATGAGGCAGGCTTGGATCCACCAGTACTGTACCACCGTTGCCTCTCTGCAGGCGCAGCTCTGCTGTCTTCTCCTGCCACTCGGCTTAAACCAGGCGGCAGGAGAGGGCAGCTCAGCTGGGAGTCTTTTCTCTCTTTTTTTACAGCAATCTGAGACTAGTGTTAGTCTCATACAGTTAGACTCAGATTGCTTGTAAAAAAAAAATTGAATGTCAAACAACAAGGAATACACCAATGAATGGTGGAAGATACAGAGTGGGTGGAATGACCTGGATGTAGGTGTAAGAGTGGCCTACGAGGAGTGGTAAAAGGGAGGGGGAATCTGAGGGAATCTGTATGCTTTTGAATTACCTTCGGCTTGGAAGCAAAGCAAGGGAAAAGCTGGCACAAAATCGCTCTCAGAAAACCTGGGGAAACAGCGAACAGAAAGCGAACTGAGTGCAGAAGGGAGGAAATACAATGCAGAATGAAAAAGAAAACCTGACAGACAGGTATGGCGAAAGTGATGGAAAACACCCATGCATGATAGGCCTTAGTCAGCTCAAAGACTTTAGGTCAAGGTTTCATAGCTCCAGCCAAACCACTATGGGGGCAATCATAAGCAAGTCTACTCAGAAACTAGCCCTGTTTTATTCAATGGGCTTACTTTCAGGAATGTGCAGTCCTAAGCAGTCACATCCTTCTAAGTTCATTGACAGTGATGTACCTAGAAAGGGGTAGGTCTGTTTAAGATTGCATTATAACAGTAAAATCCTGTGTCCAATTACCTAGGAGTAAGCCCCATTGAATAAAGAGGATTTACCTGTGAGTACACCCTCATAGCAGTGATCTCTTAGTTACCCATTAAGATCAACTGATTATTTAGCCTGCAATTGGATTTACATTCAAATGTGTCACTTGTATGCCTATTCCTCTTACCCTTTTACTTGTATAGTAAAATAAGCTGATGTATTGGACACAGTTGTAAATATGGGCAGGGGAGAGCACTTCTCCTCCATGTGTATCAAATGTTTGATTAAGCATATCGTGCTTCTTCATTCAAGAGTTTTTTGAAACTGCACAAATACTAAGCAGCTGGTTTAGCAGAGTTTGTGATAACTCAGGGCAGATGGTAAGGAGGCTTGAAGGCCACCAAGGCATCCTCTTCTCTGGCCCACGCGCAGCCTGCACTTCTTCCATGTGGTGACTCAAAATGGCGGGTGGGGGGGGGGGGGGGGGGAGAAAGGCCTTGACGTTCTAAATGCAGTTCACAGGTTTCTGTTGCCTAATCCCTGCGTAGAATATTCGAATGTCCTCATCAAGATGGTTCTTATTTCTATATTGGAAAGCACATGTGAACTACAATCTCTATAGATGAAGCAGAACATCACAACACTGGTGCAAAATCTTCATACCTCATGTGTACGTAAGTAGATGTCCCCCTACTCTTCCACTGCAGATTCCTTAGAACTCAGGCCTGAGTATCTTATGACAGTGTGCTTGATGTGCAGTCCATGTCTGCATGTGGCCCATGGTGTCTCCTCCCATGCGGTTGGTTAAAAGAAGTACTGGAACTTCAATATGTTGTTGAAGGCTTCAGTATGAATTTGAGAGGCTTGTTCTACAGCCACTAGCCTATTGGATTTAGTGGAGAAGTTTCTCCAACCATGGTAATACTGCTCAGCTGTTCTCTCACCTGACAGGTGGCATTCTGACACCTCCCTAGCAGAAAGGAAACTTCTGGCTACATCCAAGAGACTTGCAGAAATTACACAACCAGGGCTTAAGTACACATCTACAGAGGCTGAAAATACACACGTTGGCACTTTCAGACAACATGGTGATTATGTGTAGTGTGTTCTTCCCATATATGTGAAACATGACAACTGAAAGAAGCACTTCACATGTATTAGTTTTGTATCTAGGTTTTTGCACCTGACTCTGACTGCACAGAGTTTAAATAGTTGAAAATGAATCCCAAGAAGTGTTTGGATTGAACACCTGATTTTTTTGGTCAGATGTAGCCATGGTTTGCAGCTTATAGTTAAGGAGGAACTTGCTGGATTTTGCTACAGTGATCAATATCATTGCGTGAGTAAAAGCGAACTGAAAATTGGGTTTGAACAAATGAGATATCATGTTTGAGCTCCTAGTGTGCCAAGAATTTGTCCCTTTGAATTTGGACTTCAGCTCAAAGGAATGCAGTAGTCTCAAAGAATCCTCTAAAGGTCACATAATGTCCTTGAATTAGTTTCTTCATGTTCAGTTTGTCTCTTTTTTCAAGACATGGCAAGACAGAGTAAAGAGAGAGAGACAGACAGAGCTCTACTTAGCAGAGACAGTAACAGGTGTGAATTATGGATGCCTCCCTGTTCATTACCCTCAGGTTGTCCAGATGCTGCTGCACATTTATGAGCATGACATTCCCAGTTGGGAGAGATTGACTTCTTTAGCTTCTGAAATCCTAGATGTTTCTTTGCTATGTGACTTAGAAGCATTGGGCCAAAGGTGGACAGAGGTCACCTCAAACAACCGTCAGAAAAGGGGCATGTTTGAATTATGGCATGTTCAAAAAGAAAAAGAAAAAGAAAATGGAAAAGAAAGAAAGAAAGAAAAAGAATCTGGGGAGGTAGACCAAAGGGTAACCAGGTACACTCCAACTTAGCTTTATGCTGCTCTTTTAAAGAGTTGTTCTTTTTTGTGCCTTTTGGCTCTAGCAGAAAGGCCCATTATCCTGCAAGCTGTAAGAGAGGGACTAGGAGAAAGTGTGACACATCCCCTGCATAAGAGAACCATGCGCTGTGCCCTATTTGGAGCTAGGCAGGTAGCACAGTAGAACTTGTCTGAAGGAGCAGCAGCAAGGTAGGCCAGGAACAAGACTAGATGACGTCCAGGCTAACAATAGTCACCTTTGGCGCAGGCAATCGCACAATTCCTTTGCAATGTTTTTGTACAGCTCTTATTCATTTCAGTGGGGCTTTTACAGGAACATTTCCCAGGGGATTATGCCCAAGGTTATGTGCAATATTCTGATGGCTGGTTGGCTTTCCAGACAAAGGACTGGATCCAACAGCAGATTTCTGTGCACCCGAGAGTCCTTGCGCAATCAGAAACATTCTAAGAAGACCATACCGGCAGCTTGCATTAAGCTAAACATTGTACCCAAGGCTTTCTTTGTAGAAAAAGCCCAGCAGGAACTTATTAGCATAATAGGCCACACCCAACGGCAGAAACTCATTAGCATATTAGGCCACACCCCATGTTACCAGAAGTGTGGTCATTCAGCCACACCCACCTTTTGCTTCTTATTCTGTTTACCTTGTTTGTTGTCAAAACCCAGGGCTTTTTTTGTAGCAGGAACTCCTTTGCATGTTAGGCCACACACCCCTATTGTAGCCAATCCTAATGAGTTTCTGCTGTTGGGTGTGGCCTGTTATGCTAATGAGCTCCTGCTGGGAGTGGCCAACTCAGGAGCCTGCCGGAACTCCGTTCCTGTGCGTTCCTGCCCAAAAATAGCCCTGATTGTACCCCAACTTGCACTCCCACTTATGCAAGACATTTTGCAAGTAATTACTGATTATTGGTCTATCTTGCATTATATCTATAGAGCTATTGCTTGCGCAAGTGGAACTGTGCTAAGTGAGCTTACACTTCCACTCACACATCGCTGAACCAAACCCACAACTTAGAGCTACATTTATATTGTAAATATAACACTCCGCTGCAAAATATGTCAACAATGCATTTGGTGTTGGGGTTTCCAAAATAATGTCTAAGCTAGTCTACAAATGTCAGGTAACAAACCACCCAGCCTCCAATCAAGCAAGACCTTTTCAAATACCTTTGGCAGATAGCAATTTTCTGTAATGTGTTGCCATGTGATCTTCAACAATGTACTGACTTGATAGCTTGCAGGAAGAACTTGGAGAGAAGGCTAAGGAGAAAGCATGTATTTTAGTCAACAGGGTTTAAAAAAATATCTTGTATGTACAGGTCCCAAATTAGGGCTCCTTTTCTTGCATTTTCTGTATTAGAAACCAGCCGCAAAATAAAAGTGATAATTGAAGGTGGCCTCTTTCTCTTTGATTACTCTGTCATTATGGTTTGCAATAAATAATGTATGAGCACTGCCTGTGTATTCTCACTGAATTGCCACTTCCTTATGTATTGTGTGCCATTATATTCTCTGGGGAAAATATTATGTTTCATCTCCAATAAAATCTTCAACTGGAAAGGTTTAAATTAATGAACCAAAGTAAAAAAGCAGAAAGAAATATGCATACTCCTGTTTCACTGCAAATACAAATGCTGATCTAGATTATAGCTCTACACAGAGAACACAACTGTTTACAGGCAACATGAATAAATAGACCAATGGAATCACTTGCTTGTCCTAAAACTGGCGATATACATTTGCCACAGGGATGGCACACAACCTACACATATACAAATTGTATACCATCTAGAAAACTAAGCAGCAGAGACTATCACAGGAATAGAAACTGTGCACATCCAGTTAGCACATGCATAGGCCAATGTTTGGCTGATTATATGCCTAGGCTGATGGTAGAGCCGGTGGGTTCAATCTTACTCCGTAAACATACTGCCTGCTCATGTTTATATCACACATAGGCCCCGTTCACACGGAGGATTTGCCATGCTAAAGGCATGAATGTCAGGCAGATTTTTGGGTCACGAAACACCACAACATCTGGGAAGCGTAGCACACCCGTGGCGTCCCGCCAAAGATGCGCAGTAAAAAACTACCTCGGAAAGTGCACTAGTATCCGGAAAATATGGGGCAGTGGTGGGTGTCTGATTGCGGGAGCGCTAGTAGTCCATGGCATCTGGCGCCCGTCCACGTCCCATCGCAAACCGGATGTTTTTCATAAATGCATGCGCACAAACACATAACTGAAAGCAGTGCTGCTCCGCGGAACTGCACATGCATACAAACATGAAACGCCTGCCGTGCCGCTTCTTTGCCATGCTCCAGCATCACCATGTGATCGCCAGCTAACAGCCTAAGCGGGAAGACTCAGGGGACCGTGTGATCGGGCTACCGAGCTTTATTTTGCTCCGGGGCAAACAGCCATGCCCTCCCCCCCATGTTATCTGGCCTGTGTGACCAAGGCCATACAAGACTTTTGCTTTCATTGTTTTTCAGAAATGTTATGGTACTAACAGTACACAACTATAGACTAGCCCTGGCCTGATCTCATCAGATCTCGGAAGCTAATCAGGGTCATCCCTGGTTAGTATTTGGATCCAATATTTTTTATTTATTTTATATTTATTTATTCAGGTATTTCTATCCCGCCCTACCCCGCGAGCGGGCTCAGGGCGGCTTACAGAGGCATAAGCCATATATAAAGTTCAATAAAATCCAGTAAAATCACAAAATCACAACCGATAACATACTATTAATAATAATAAAGTGCTTTAAATTACAAGATGGTCTGCAATTGGCCCATACAAGAGATAACCCCTGCCGACATTAGCTGTAGTAATATCATTCCCTTCGCCGGGTTTAGCTTCAACCGACTCAGCCTGAGCCACTCAGCCACGGCCTGTAGTCCCTGGTACAGATCTTCCGGGGTGGAGCCCGACCGGCCGCCCAACATCAGATAGAGCTGGGTGTCATCTGCATATTGATGACAACCCAGCCCATACCTCCTGGCAATCTGGGCGAGAGGGCGCATATAGATGTTAAAAAGCATCGGGGAAAGCACTGCCCCCTGAGGCACACCACATTCCAGTGGGTGCCTCTGGGACTGCTGTTCCCCTATCACCACTCTCTGTCCCCGACCTTGGAGAAAAGAGGCAAGCCATTGAAGGGCAAGCCCCTGTATCCCCGCGTCGGCAAGGCGGTGGGTCAGCAACTGGTGGTCGACCGTATCGAACGCAGCCGATAGGTCCAACAACACCAGTGCCGCCACACCACCTTGATCCAGATGCCTCCGGAGATCGTCAGTAAGGGCAACCAGCGCCGTCTCCGTCCCATGACCAGGGCGAAAGCCAGACTGAAGTGGATCCAGGATAGAAGCGTCATCCAGAAAGCCCTGAAGCTGTACCGCCACCGCCCTCTCGATCAACTTGCCCAAGTAGGGCAAATTAGACACCGGCCGATAGTTGGCCAAAACGGTCGGGTCCAAAGTTGGTTTCTTCAGGAGAGGGCGGACCATCGCTTCCTTGAGTGCCGCAGGGAACCGTCCCTCCGCGAGGGACTTGTTAATAATCTCCCATGCGGCACCTCGAAACCCCTCGTGGCCTGCTTTAATGAGCCAGGAAGGGCACGGATCCAAGGAGCATGTGGTTGGGCGTACAGTTACGAGCAGTCTGTCAACTTCTTCCAGACTGAGTGGGTTAAAACATTCCAAACCCGGCGAGGACGTGCAAGGGGCCTCAAGTTCGCTCACTGTTTCAACTGTGGCGGGGAGGTCGCGACGGAGCACCGAGACTTTATCCGCAAAATGGCTCGCAAAAGCCTCGCAGCCTATCTCCAATTCCCTACTATTTTGTCTGCCTTGCGGCAGAGATGTTAAGGACCGAATTATTCTAAACAATTGGGCTGGGCGCGAGCCAGCGGACGCAATCGCGGCTGCATAGAATTCCTTCTTAGCAGCTTTGACCGCCATCTCGTAGGCTTTCATAAGCGTCCTGAAAGATGCTCTTGATGCTTCGTCGCGAGCGCGCCGCCACCGTCTCTCTAGCCGTCTAAGTTCCCACTTCATAAGTTGGAGCCCCTGGGTATACCAAGGGGCCAACTTAGTGCGGGGGCGCAGAGGGCGCCGGGGAGCTATCTCCCTCTAAGCTCCATAGTGTTGTGAGCAGAAATTCTACCTCGTGAGCAAAAAAAGCTAGTACCATTAAAGCTATGAGTGAGTCTACATTTGACTATCACATAAATTAGTTTTTAGAAGATTACTTCCAAAACCTTGTAAAAATCTCACAATAAATTATTTTAAATTATATTTAAACTATATTTTAAGAATAATTTAAACATTATAAGAGAAAATAGAATGAAGTCAAATTTTAAACACCCCTTTCCACTATATTTGTAGACTTGTCCTCCAATGAACAGGTCTACCCACTCCTTTTCACTATATTGATAGACCTGTCCTCCAGAAAACAGGTCTACCCACCCCAGTCCACTATTGGTTGACCTGGCCTTGGATTGTCACCCTGTGCTGAGCCTTAGTACGTGGGCGGGGGACTCTTGCAGTCTACTTTGTGTTTTTTAGTGAAATATGACAACCAGCATTACAGGTCAAGTATAACAGAGGAGGAAAAATCATTGTCAGAATCCTGCCTAACCTAACAAGAGGTTGCTTAAATGATATCAACCTGCCCAAACTACTTATTTATTCAAATATTTATACCCCACTTTTTCCTGTGACTCAAGGCAGCTTACAACTCATACTGAAAAGCATAATAGGGGTATGAAAAAACAACAACCCCAGTTTTATCCAGCTCCAGAGTTTCAAAAATAATGGACCAGGAAGTCCAATTCCTGTGCTGCCTGTTAAAATGTTGTGTGCCAGTGCCCTCTAGTGCAACTTAGAGAGAACTATGGAGACCATCATCACAAGCCAACATGAATTGCACCAAAATTCATGCTAATTTGTCCTAATTCTTCAGATCACGAACTTCGGTTTGCAAACTCCAAACAGGCCAAAATTCATGATGAACTTTAGTTCATCAGCAGGTTCATTCCCATCCCTATTACACACACAAGTACAGGCAAGGACAAATGAAACATTCTGAAATCTGGAATGCTTTTTGACCTTACCTTTATTCTTCCAGGTACTGAGACATCATGCAGCAAAACAAAAACCCTGCTGTGTACAGAAAATTGTGGATGAGGAGAAACTGGATTTTTTTTATTTAAAAAAGGACTTTGAGACAGTTGCCATAAAAGCAATGGGCAAGGCCACGGCTACCTTGTTTGTTTACCACTCAGCTGTTACTTTTTTCAGTTCTGCACCTTAGAAGCATACAAGCTTTGTTTGTGATTGGAAGGAGGCAAACAGTTGCAGCTACCACACTTAATTGCTGGAGGCTTCTCTCTCTTCCTTCAGCTGGAAACCATCTTCATTCCCCCTGCCTTGTTTTTCTAGATGTCAGCTGATACCTACATGGGGGAGGGGTGAGGGCACAGTGGCAGAGCCTCTGCTTTGCAAGCAAATATTCCCAGGTTCAGTCCCCAGACTCTCCACTTAAAAGATTAGACAGCAGATGATGTGAAAGATCACAGCCTGAGACTCTGGAGAGCCAGTCTGAGTACTATTCAGGGTTTCAGCAGACAAAAACTAGATGCCATCACAAGCTTTTGTTTGTTGGAGAATGCATTCACTTTGGCCCTTCCCACATTTCCCCCAGGTTTTCTCTGTGTTTGACTTGCGGCCATTTACCTTGCAGTAGCCGCTGTTTATCTGTTGTTTTCTGCACTGATTTTGTCCTGCTCTAATATGCTGGGTTATAAATTCTGCATTGTGAACAGGGGTGTTTGTCCTAGGTAAGGTGGGAAAAGGGTGGAGAGGATTTGTAATGTATTCAGCCTGACATGCCCGGACTTGCCCGGGCTGGCCAGGCACAAACCATCTGTAGCTTGAGTCGAAAGACAAAGGATCTGAAGGATCCTAGCTGGCCCTATCCAAGGGCTAGTTTTCCAGCCGGGAGACCAATGGTCACCCGGTTACTGTAAATAGCCTATTAGGAGTAGGGGGGGTGGTTATGGGTACTTGGTGGCGGGTTTTCTGAACGCATATAAACCGGCCTGCGAGCTGGTCACTTGTCTTTGTCCTGAACCTAATAAAGGTATGCTTAGCTGAAATCACTCTCCGTCTGCATACTTTTCAGGATTGAAACCAGGTTTAAAATTCTATGCTTAAATCTGCACCAGGCCACTCTAGATCAAGGGAAAGTCCATAG